AGCAAGGATTGCCACGATGCGTTCACTAATATACGATTAAATTTCGCTTTATTACGGCCAATGACGGTCCCAGGAGTATCTAAAAATATCTAATAATTTCTTTGGAAACTTGTGTGATTTAAATATCGAAACAAAACGGTATAAATTGAGGGTTTATTTACTATTTGTGTGTTTCCCTCTGTCAACACCATCAGAATTCTTTCTCGAGTTGTATGAGCTTTTTCGGATACTATCGAAATCTGATTGAAGAATATGCTCCGTCAAAATTTCGCGTAATTTGATAAACTCGCAGAGATTACTTGTTCTTACCGTCTCACCTATCAAAGAATTCAATAGTGTTGATTTACCAGCGTTAGGTACTCCTAAAACTGCGACTTTAAGTAATTTTGGATTTGGGGGCTGTACAAATTTTCCAATTATCTTTGGAAGTTTCACCTCGATTCCTACACTCACCGACAAAAATATACTATTAACCGCCGAAACTTCGTTAGCGTAGCCATAATTATAAATTTTACCTACCAGCGGGTCGAATATTCATAGGTTCAAAAGATTTTTTCTTTTTCACTTCTGCTTCTTGAATTGATAATAATGATCCTTGTTCCATGGATACATTCGATTCCAGATTATTCTCATCCAAAACGCTGTTGTTCATGTTACTCTTTTCCAAATTTACTATTTCATCTTGATATAAACCATCAACTTCCGTCTTCGGTGTCAAGTCTCCCGTCTCTGGAAGTTCTGACAACATTGACGCGTTTAAATTTTCAGTTGACGAAGAATTTATGCTTTCCAAATCCACCCTTATTAACCTGTCATTCTGAAAGCTTGTTACGCTATCATCGTGTTTGACCCCCGATAGAGACTGCATAACATCGTTATTTATAACTGACTTAGACTTATAAAACATATTATTTAGAACCGATTTAATTGTTTCCGCCGAAACTTTTCTTCTTCGAATTCTCCCGAATTCTTTAAGTGCAGATAATTTTGGAATTGATGTGGACGATTTTTCTGATGAAGGATGATTTATATCTATGGATGAAAGTTTTACTGGTTTCGTGGGTGATGATAATGGATCTTTAGATTTTTCGGGTGAGAAACCCGTTTCATTTAATGTTGGTAACCCTCTTAATTTTCTTGCCCTTGACATTATGGAATAATTTCGAACTAAAATGTTTGAACCGAATGCTATTATGAAAGTAAATCATGATTGAAAATTTAGAGAATGATAGAAAAATTTTTTATTTCTCTAAACATACATATTCTTAAACATTTTTGCAAGAAAATTCCATCCAAAGATGCAACTGGTAATACTTTTGTTTGGTACATTTCAAAAAAAAAAAAAAAAAAAACTAAGCATTTGACAATTTATTATATACAAAAATTATCATGTGATATGGATTATATAACCCCGTTAAGCTAAATTACAGATTATATACAATCGAGCATAAGATGAAAACCCTCTTCCTATCGCATTTTTGAATTTATTATAAATATAGTCAAACCTGGATATAACGAATCTGTTTATAATGAAGCTATAATAAAATGCTGGTTTTGAAATTTTATTATAAAACGGGAATTTTACTATATTAATTTCTAAACAATTTTTTTCAATTTTTACTAATTGGTCGTTATATCCAGGTTTGACTGTATATGGAATTTCTTTATAAGAATTTATTTATAATTGCGTAAATAATTTGAAGGTTATAATAATTGTTTTAATTTTATATTAATAATATAAGTCAAATAAAATCTTTTTTTAGTTACTTCTATAAAGTTATATAATAAAAACTAATTTTATATTATATTTATATTAATTAAAAAGAATTTATTTGATATAATTAATACCATTTTCTAATTATCTATGATACATAATATTTATAATTAGGAAATTTTTTTGAAAAAACTTTAGAGATCTCAAATTTAAAAATCTTCAAAATTCTTCATATCAAAATAATTTAAAGATCTTGAAATAAATATAATATATATAAAAACAATAATGTTTTAAAAATATTTTAATCTAATATTAGTAAATTAAATTGGTAGAGATTTTCAAAGATCTTTGCAACAAAAATCTTCAGAAATCTTTGTTTTCATTAGAGATTTCCAGAGTAAAGTTTTTATACTGTATATAAATTTCAAAAATCTCTGTTTTTTTTTGAAGGTTTTTAAAGTTTATTATAAGTAAACAAAGTATTGCAAGGGTTTATAGAGATTTGTAAAGGTTATATATTATTATAAAAATATGTTTTAATACTATTAAAATATATTTCAATATTATATAACAATAAACAATACAATAAATAATTCATATAATTTAAACATTTGTATTAATTTTATTATTTTTTTATAATACAATAAATAAAAAAAGGATTAATTATTAATTATTTCTTAATTTTTATTCTAAATATATTAAAAATTATTAAAATAGTTTAAAAAATATTCTTCAAGATATAATTACTATATTATTTATACTTATATTCAAAGAATTTCAAAGAATTTCGCTTTTTATCAAATACTAAATATTTTCTTATTTTTTATCAAAGCTATTATTATAATTAAAATTTAATAAATTTAGTAAAAGTTTTTATTTTTTTATAATTATTTTTAAATATAATTATAAGTTAGCAAATGTTTTTAATATTAATAAATATAATATAACTTAGTTTTTTAAAGTTTTTCAAATGTTTTTATTAAATTTTATCTTTCTTTTCTTTCTTTTAAAACCTATAATTATATATTAAATTTATTATGTTTTTATTTAAACATTATAAAAATAATAAAAGAAATTAAAAATTTTATATAAAATAAACTTTTAAAAAAATTATTATAGTTATAATTTTCTTTTTAATCTTTTATTACTTTTTGCAAAATAACAAAATATTTTATAAATTATAATATAATATAAAAATATTTGTTTATATAGTTATATATATTTATATTAATTTTTTATTGACTAAAATTATTTGAATTTTATTAGCTAAAATTATTATTTCTTATTGGCTAAAATTAATTTTTAATTTTTAAAGTATTTTGAAATTAATTTTTTTTTTTTTTTTTTTTTTTTTTTTTTTTTTTTGAAAAGAGCAAATGGTTATCACGTTTTATTATATTTATTATACTTTCACTTACTTACAGGATAAAGTATAATAATCAATAGCACGATATACGTCTCTCTTTGTTAGAAAGAGTTTAATGCAAGGCTCTCATATGGGGTCAGACCCCTGTGCTCTTTTAGCACCATCCAAGGAATATAGACAAAAAAAAATTCAAAAATCTATATTGAATTATGAATAGTGTCCAGCTACCTGAAATTAAATGAATACCTAATCACATGAAGGCACTGCAGCCAATCTATACAGGTTGGTCTCCAAGTCATGATTAGAATTAGCACACCTGCTTTCCAAATATGGCTTGCTATATAGCAAGCGGAGTGGTGTTAGAGGTGATAGGAGATGAGTACCTTTTTGCATAAAGATACTGCAACCACTTTATACAAGTTTGCCTCCAAGTCACAAAAAGGATTTGACACACCCATGCTTCAAGTGTGGCGAAAGTATCCTATGGATGGAGTTCTTATTGGTTTTCTTAATAGCGCTGGAACCTAACCTTGTATAATAAACCTACATTGTCGGAGAGTGAGCGAGAAACTTCCATTGTCATTACCAGCTCGTGTTGCGGAGGTAACTAAAATCTCTGGTCATCACGTATTACCCTACTAAGTTCCCCAATCACCAGCATGACACTTGTAACTAACCTAACTTATTGCTAATCGCATTGGCATTGGCTGCCATTTCACTTTGGTACTGTGGGACACAACTCCTTGGGTACTTTTGGATAATAATAGTTGTACAAAGGTTTCTTGGGCATATCTAGTCTAACCACTGATCAATAAACAACGCCAGGTTTGGTAATGATGACCATGTCGATCTTTTGGAGAGGGTAAGCCATCCATCCTTTTTTTTGAGGAGCCATAGAAAAGAGAAAAATTTCTAAAGCCCATGTCCTAAGAAAGATTACCACTTCTTGATATGGTCCTTAAGAAAAGGAAGTTAACTGGTTAGAGAAGTGATGTTATGGAGACAGAGTTTTTAAAAGAAAGAGAGGCCTAAGGAGGAAAACCTTCAGAGAAAAAAGAAAAACCTAGCTTCGGCAAAAAGAAAAGGGGAAAGAGGAAAGGAGGGGTAAAGGTAAAAAAGAAAGTATATAGAAGAGAGAGGAGAGGATAGGAGAAGGGAAATAAAGAGGTATGGGAAGAGAGCATAAAGAGAAGAGAAAGGAGAAGACGAAGAAAAAGTAAACAACTCAAAAATTTCCTAAAAAGGAAATTTTCAAGCATAGAAAAGGGAGTGGGAAAGAATTTTTTTTTTTTTTTTTAGTATTTTGAAATTAATTAAAATATTATATACTATATACAGTATGTCTCATAATTTTTTGTAAATTTTATTTATTAATTACTCGATAACCGCTGAACCAAATACAA